TTTATTGAGGTGATACTGGTTAACACAATTACACAGGTTTCAGATACACAATTCTACAACACACCATCTGTACACTATATTGTGTGTTCACCCCACCCCCGCCAAGTCAAGTCTCCATCCATCATCATTTATCCCTGGATACCCTCTTCCACCTTCTTCCTCCCCGTCTGGAATCACCACACTGTTGTCCATGTCCATAAGTTTTTTCTCAATTCCTCCACCCTCCCCAACCAGCTCCCCCCAACCCCCCCATTAAATTTGCTTTATAAAATATTTTTAACAACTCATTTTCCCACTAGAAATGTAGAAGTATCCATTGCTCACAATAAAACCAGGCTTTAGTGTTACCAGTTTTTTGAGTTTTTTTTTAGTGTTACCAGTTTTGTTTTGTTTTTTAAATATATTTTATTGATTTTTTCACAGAGAGGAAGGAAGAGGGATAGAGAGCTAGAAACATCGATGAGAGAGAAACATCGATCAGCTGCCTCCTACACACCCCCCACTGGGGATGTGCCCGCAACCAAGGCACATGCCCTTGACCGGAATCGAACCTGGGACCCCCCAGTCTGCAGGCTGACGCTCTATCCACTGAGCCAAACCGGTTACGGCAGTGTTACCAGTTTTTTAAACTTCAAGTTTGAAAGGCTATGAGCTCTTTTAGTTTGTACTTTAATTACTTGTGAGGTAGAAATTGTTCCTTGTTTATTGTTTCATCTGTTTCTTTTGACTATTTATTGGGTTCTTGATCTGTTTGTTACCAATTTTATGTGTTCTTAACAGAAATATTAACCCATTGCCTATAAAGCATTTCCCAGTCTGAAATTTGCCTTTTACTGTTGGCTATGATTTGGGAGTAGGGTATGGGTTTTTTGGTTTGTTTCCAGCAACAGAAATTTAAAAAATGTTTTATCTTTTAAAAAAATATATATACATTTGTATTGATTTCAGAGATGAAGGGAGGGAGGGCGGGAGGGAGGGAGAGAGAGAGAGAGAGAGAGAGGGAATGAATCATTAATCAGCTGCCAATCATTAATGCTGCCTCCTACACACTCTGCAACCAGGGCATGTGCCCTGACTGGGATTCAAACTGTGACCTCTTGGTTCATAGGTCAACGCTCAACCACTGAGCCACGCCAACCGGGCAAAAGAATATTTTAATGTTTTATAAACCTGTCCATCTTTCCCCTGTGATTTCTTCCATTTTCACTCCTCCAATGGCTTATTTTCTGTCAGGTTCAAGAATTAAGGGAGATAAATTCTTTGTCATCTTTTTAACAACAAAGGAGAGAAGAGGATTATTTCCTTTTTCCCTTCATAAATTTGACTTGCCTTGAGTCACTTTTTGTTTTAGTATCTTGAAATATGCTCGTTCTGAGGGTGGGGTCTGTAGGAAGTAATGTGTATGTGTATTTGCATCCCCAAAAGTACGAAATAATATGTACCACAAAATATTAACACTGGTTATTTCTGATTGATGTGAACAGAGCTGGGATGAATTTGTTATTCACACCTGCCCAGCACCCCTATTTCCTTTGGGCAAGATACCCCTCTTCATTCCTTGTGACTCTGGTGTGGCTGCCATGATAGTACATTTGCCCAATATAGTATCTCACTCACTGGCAAGTTTTTGGGGCCAAGAGGTAGGCATGTCACTCCAGCAGAACCCATCAGAGAGTCCTCCCCTGAGTATACAGCTCTCCTTCTGCTGGGTTCAGTTGGGAAGCTGGGGCTGCCCCACACCATGTTTCCTGCCAGGTAGAGATCACTCTGCAGAAGAAAGGAAAACTGTGCAAAGAGACATTGAGACAAGGAGAGATGAGAGAAAGCAAATTCTATGACTACCATGTCTCCAGTTCCAGACTCTAAGACCTTAAAGCCTGGTGTTTTCCCTTCCATCTTGTCAGCTATTGTGAGCCATAGGGTCCTCTTTGATGCAACTGGCTTAGGTTGGGATTGTTACTTGGCAAGTGAAGGAATCTGATCAGTAGCAAAAACAGTCTTGTGTACGTTTTTAGTAGTTTATGTAATTTTCTTGAATGATCATATATTACTTGTATAGTATAAATATTTTTTTAAAAGAAAAAAAGACTGCCCTGGCTGGTGTGGCTCAATTGGTTGAAGCATCGTACTGTACACCAAAAGGCAGTGGGTTCAATTCCCAGTCAGAGCACATACTCAGGTTGTGGGTTTGATCCCAGTTGGGGTGTGTATGGGAGGTAGCCAATCAAGGTTTCTCTCTCACATTGTTAGCTCTCTCTCTAAAGTCAATTTTTAAATCTTTTTTTAAAAAGACAGAATGTCTTTGCTAGAAAAAGGAAAGCATAAGTGCCCTCAGACATGCTTAAAAGTAGACAAAATGTATAATAGAGCATAATAAGTATACAAGTCCTCAGAAGGTTAGAGGCCACCTTATCACCTTGGGAATGTTAAAGAGAAAACAGGAATTTGTGGTGAGACAACCTTAGCTCAGTGTCTATTTGGGGTGGGTATAGGGAGGCGGTTTCAGCAATTTTTAAATCTTTTTAAAAAAAGACAGAATGTCTTTGCTAGAAAAAGGAAAGCATAAGTGCCCTCAGACATGCTTAAAAGTAGACAAGATGTATAATAGAGCATAATAAGTATACAAGTCCTCAAAAGGTTAGAGGCCACCTTATCACCTTGGGAATGTTAAAGAGAAAACAGGAATTTGTGGTGAGACAACCTTAGCTCAGTGTCTATTTGGGGTGGGTATAGGGAGGGGAGATGAGGAGCTCAGTCCTGAGCATGAAGTGTATTTTTCCATGAACTAGACCAGTGGTCGGGAAACTGCGGCTCGCGAGCCACATGCGGCTCTTTGGCCCCTTGAGTGTGGCCACGAAGTTTCAATTGCACTGTATGTGCGCGCCCGCACGTGGTATTTTGTGGAAGAGCCACACTCAAGGGGCTGCAGTTTGCCAACCACTGGACTAGACAGTCGGAGATACTGAGGTTTGAGGGAGGGAAATTGCCCCTTAGCCTCTTGTCCCTGGACAAAGCAGGTCCCTTCTCTGAGCTTCAGTTTACAGTTAAATATAGCTCTCATATTTTGAATCCCTACAGGCACTTCATATCCATTATCTTAGAATTCTCAGGAAAATTGAACAGTAATCAATATTCCCATATTCCAGATGAAGAAACTGAGGCTCAGAGAGGTAAAGTGAGACTCAGATTAGTCAATCTCTAAAGCCTTTTTAGAAATCTTAGCCATCTTTCTCTGTACATTGGGCATAATAGATTGACCACCCTCTGACACAGTCCTGAGAATAAAGAAGGAAAGCCAGTTGAAACTGAGTTGGGGTAAGCATTATCTTCTCCCCATCTCCAGCTGGACAATGCAGGAATTCAGGAACGGGGAGAGGCACTGGCACGTGATTAAGGTGAGTGGGGATCCAAAGCAATGTGCCTTCCCTGGCTGGTCACAGTCCAGCTCTACCCCCGCTTCCTGTGAGTTGCTCCCCCTTCCTCCCTCCGCACCAAATTTCTTCCCAAGGAAGGCCTTGCGCAAGAGGACCTCGGTCAGGTCCCTTGGCCGCCTGCCTGCCGCCCAGGAGCGGTTTCGTGCCCCCCTCCCCTCCAACCATCAGCCCCTGGCGCCTGCCCAGTCACGTGGCACTTTGGTTCTCTTTGGCTAGCCTCCTTCTGGATCCCGATTTAACTCCCTCTCCTCCCCCTTTCCTCCCTAGCCCCAGTCCCTCTGGGCACCACACCCAGGTGTAGGGAATTGGGGCATCAGCTCTGCCTCACTGAGGGACCTCGTGCTTTGTTTTTTCCATTTATAAATTGGGGTTCCACCCAACACTGTCTCGATTCTCTTCATTGCCTAATCTTTCCCTATTGCCCCACCCCCGCACCCTCAGTCAGTCTCCTGAGCCTTTGTGAGGGGCCTAATTTCCTTCTGGGCACCAGTGGAGGGGCGGGTTGGTAGAGAGGGGAGGGAGAACGGAGCCACAGAGTCCTAAGGGAGCTCCCAGACTGGTCTGAAACTCTATGAGGCGACAGGGTGAAACTGGCCAGCCTCTGGCATTAGACAGATCTGGGTTTGAATCCGGCTTCGCCTCTGACCACCTGCTGATTTTGAACCCTTCATCTCTTTGGGCCTCCGTTGACGCCTCTGAAATGGGGGTCCTACCGGAGACGAAGGGCGGGCAGAGTCCAGCAGAGGATCTGCCTTGTATTAGGGA